AGAGAGAGAGAGAATTTTTTAATATTTATTTTTTAGTTTTCGGTGGACACAACATCTTTATTTTATTTTTATATGGTGCTGAGTATCGGACCCAGCACCCTGTGCATGCCAGGCGAACATGTTACCGCTTGAGCCACATCCCCAGCCTATGGTCAATTGTTTTTTGAAAGGATCGTAACAACTTAATGGAAGGAAAAGTGAAATGAATTAATATATAATGATACAAAATATATATTAAAGATTACTATCTACAATTCAGAAAGAACACATAGGATTCAGTAATTAAAAAGCAGGTTTATTAAAGAAGGGCAAACTGTCAGCATACAAATATGTGCAAAGGTATACAAATGACCAATAAGCATATGAAAAAAAAATTAGCATCATTTGTTATCAAGGATGCAAATCAAAGCCAGAATGAGATAATACTTTAGACATACAAAAATGCCTAGAATAAAAATGAGAGATTATATTTTTGGGAAAAATTTGTATAAGGATGAACTCACCTACAATGTATGTGGGAATGTAAAATGTCAAAGACACTTTGGAAAGCAGTCATACAGAACTCAAATGTTGAAAGATATAGTTGCTGTCATATGTCATGGCAATTCAACCTCTAGATATATACAAAAGAGAAACGAAAAAATAAGTCCATACAAAAAGTACATAATATTGCTTTTAGCATCATATTTCACAATGAACAAAAGGTGAAAACAATAAATGTCCATCAACAAATGAATATATAAATTGTATTATATCAGACACTGGCACAATATGCAGAGTGAATGATGTCAGAGATTTAAAAGCCCACATATTATATGAATCCATTTATATGAAAAAATGTGGAAAATGTAAAATTAGTGAAGACAAAAAATATTTTACTAGGACATAGGGCTCAGGAGAATATGGGTTGAAAATAAAAGGGTATCTGAGATTCTTTATGAGGTAAAGAAAATATTCTAAAATTGGCATTTTTATACATGAAATTATCTGTCATCATATTAAAATCATTGTTGTAGAAATATACTATATCACCTTAAGTGAATTTTTATGGTATGTGAATTTGATCTTAGTAAAGTTGTAAAAATATATAAATTTAAGGGAAAATAAAAGAAAGGGTTTTCTGAGTTGATTATGGCAATCTATACTGAACAAGAAATTGAGTATAATGTTTAGTTGCTCCTCTTAGCAAAGAAAGGAAATTTCTATTATTTCACATACACCAGATCAGCAGACTACGTAAGGCAGGTCTATTGGACAAGCCCATACCTTGACTGTTCCTAATTGTTCTAAAACTAAAACTGTACTTTGAGTTATTAGACTAAACAAAAAATGAAACCTATATGTTATATACATTATCATTTTGTAGTAGTTTCCAGGGAGATAATAATATCTAATACCTCAGTTACTTCATCAGGGAGAAAGTAATAAAGCTGTGATTATACCCACACCTGTATCATCACTCTATTATAGATACTTATTATCAGATTAAGGTTGTTATGCATCTACTCATAACTTTTAATTTTCATTTCTAACAGTATGTGGTGTCTGAGTTATATTACCTTCCTAAAGTAGAGCAGCAAGTGAGTAGATATACAAATATCTATTTATTGTGATATGCAAATATGTATACAAATTGATATATAATTGCAATGTGTACATATGCATATACTGATAATATATTTTAAATAAAATAATACATATAGAAACATATATGAATATATTTTTGTCTATTTTTTTTTTCTTTTTTGCTGTGGTTAATGAAAATATCCAGCAAAGCCCAAACAGGCAAAGTTGTTCGACGGGACAAGCAGCCTCAGTTTATTTCTACAGCTAGACCCCTGCTTTGGGATCTCCATCTGATCAAAGCGGTGTGTAGGCACAGTTCACCTGTTCGGCTTCACTCCTCCCCAAGCAGGGAGTTCTGGCAGCTCAGAGGCCCCACCCCCCCTGCTGCCTGAGGACAACGGTTGCCTTGGTGACATTGTTTGGCTCCAGGCGACCATCCTTGAAACTGCCTCAGCAGGCCCTGGGCCACCAGAAGGGAGGTAACATTCATGGGTTGAGAACAGGGTGTTCTGGTGGATCGAGGACAGCCTGCTGGCTTCACCTGGGTGACAAGTTGAGAAGTCCAGCATCCCGCGGCTGTAAGACTTCCAGAGGTACGTGTGGAGTCATCTCACCAAGCGGCCGAGGTGTTCGTCCTTCAGGTTGGTGAAGTGCGGAAGACCAGGCGCAGACATGTCTAGTCCACAGACATTGGACATCCCTGCAGTGGTTTTTGACAACGGCTCGGGACTCTGCAAGGTAGGCCTGTCTGGGGAGATTGGACCCCGTCAAGTCATCAACTCTGTTGTGGGGCATCCCAAATTCAACATCCCTTCCGCCAGGGCCAATCGCAAGAAGTACTTCGTGGGGGAAGAAGCCCAGTACAGGTATGATGCCTTATATCTGCACTACCCGATTGAGCGTGGACTGGTGACCAGGTGGGATGACATGGAGAAACTCTGGAAGCATCTTTTCGAGTGGGACCTGGGGGTGAAACCCAGCGAACAGCCCATCCTGCTGACAGAGCCTTCCCTGAACCCGAGAGAGACGCGCGAGAAGACTGCGGAGATCCTGTTTGAGAAATTCAGTGTGCCTGCGCTCTACCTGCTCAACCACGCGGCGGGAGCGCTGTATGCTTCGGCCTGCGTGACCGGCCTGGTGGTGGACAGTGGCGATGGGATCACTTGCACTGTCCCCGTCTTTGAGGGCTACTCCCTCCCGCACGCAGTCACCAAGCTCTATGTGGCAGGGAGAGACATCACAGAGCACCTCACACGGCTCCTCCTAGCCCGAGGCTGTACCTTCCCTTGCATCCTCAACAAGGCCGTGGTGGATGACATCAAAGAGAAGTCCTGCTACATCTCCCTGGAGCCCGAGATAGAGCCATCCAAGAGGCGGCAGGAGGTCCTCACAGAATTCAAACTGCCCGATGGCAATGTCATCCACATGGGGGACCATCTATACCAGGTACCTGAGGTCCTCTTCGCGCCCGACCAGCTGGGCATCCATGACCCCGGGCTCTCCAAAATGGTCTGCAGCACTATCTCCAAGTGCGACGCTGACATCCAGAGCAACCTTTTTGCAGACATCGTGCTGTCTGGAGGCACCACGCTCTTCCCCGGGCTGGAGGAAAGGCTCATGAAAGAACTGGAAGAGATGGCTTTCAGGGGGACCCCCATCAAGATCACTGCTTCTCCTGACAGATGTTTCTCTGCGTGGATTGGTGCATCCATCATGACTTCTATGAGCAGTTTCAAGCAGATGTGGGTCACTTCTGAGGACTTTAAGGAATTTGGCAAATTCGTGGTTCAGAGAAAATGCTTTTGAAGAACATTGCACGCTGCAAACACCTCAAAATGCGGGTACCAGCTGCAGTACCAGCTGGTGGTGACATGGTCCCTTGGCCTTCAGTACAATATTCAATAAACCACTTTCCCTGTAGCAGTTTCACTTTATTCTCTGTAGCTCCAGGGTACTTGCCCATTCCACTGGTCAATGTTTATGTGGTTCTCACCCACCCACCCCGCTTTTTTGTCCTATGGATCTTTTGAGTTGCTTTCTCCAGAGAAAACCTTGGGGTTTGTGTTTGGGCTTTGGCCAATTTCGGGGGTTCTTGTCAAATGTGCCTGACCCTCATGCCTAGAAGCTGGGTTGATGAGGGTCCCTACAATCTTTACTACAATTGGTGTCACCGGTGCTTCTGAGAGAACCAGTGCACAGGAGACAGACTTGCCAAAGAAAGTGGGGAGAGCCAGGAATCAGGTCAAACCAGAAACGCTACCCTGTTTTTAGGAGTGGGACCTGGAGGTGAAACTCAGCGAACAGCCCATCCTGCTGACAGAGCCTTCCCTGAACCCGAGAGAGATGCATGAGAAGACTGCGGAGGTCCTGTTTGAGAAATTCAGTGTGCCTGTGCTCTACCTGCTCAACCACTTCATTGGATTGGCATTGAGTTAGGACGACAGTGCTCTTGATCAAAGGGGAGTTGAGGCACTATTTTCATGTAGGCACTATTTTCATTTAGGCACTCATTTCTTTCTTCTTAGTATTGCCTTGACTGCATTCCACATGTTTTTCTTAGGTTGTCTTACTTTTTTAAAACTTTTTTTGGTTGTTGATATATATTTTATTTATTTTTATGTGCTGCTGAGGATTAAACCCAGTGCCTCATACATGCTAGGCAAGTGCTCTACTATTGAGCTAAAACTCCAGTCCCTAGGTTATCTTTCCATATTCTTTTGTTTCTAGAAATTTTTAAGTTTCCTTCTCATCCTGTGAATTACCTACTACTTTTTCAAATGTGTTTTCCTATGTCCATGTATTTGTATAATTTATCTGGCTGATTTAGGTGTTGATTTCTGATTCTATTTTGTTGTGATCACAAAAGTATTTTTAAGTTGAATTTAATTTTTATAAGTTTTAAACGTGATATGTATTCTACTTTATTCTTATGTCTTGAATGAAGATAAAAATCACTTTGTCATCTCAATAGATAAACAAAAAGCTTTTGAAAAAACTCAACATGACTTTTGCAATAAAATCACTGAAGAAATTAAAAGACACCTCAACCTAATAAGGGCTCTATATTGAATGCTCATAACAATGTTTTACCCAATGGAGGAAAGCTAGTAATATTTCCTCTTAAGTTCAAAAACTAGATAAGGATTTCCATTCTAAGCACTGTGATTCAGTATATTCCTAGAAGTCTTAGCCTGGGTAGTTAGGCAATAGGAAGAAATAAAGGCATACAAATAATAAAAGAGGAAGTCAATTTATCCCTGTTTATAGATGATAGAATTCTATACATAAGAAAAACTAAAGTTTCCACCAAATGCATATTATAACTATGAAATTTTAAAACGTGGCAGGTTTCAAAATCAAGGTACAAAATCAAATTGCTTTTTACTATTCATCAATAATGAATTTGCTAAAGTAGAAATCAAGAAAGCATCCCATTCACAATAGTTACAAAAATACCTAGTAATAAACTAAGGAATGTAAAGGCCTGTAGAGTGAAAATTAAGAAAAATACCCGAAGACAGGGAATCTCACCTTTATTTATATCCAGAGGCAATAATTTGAAATAAAAAACTGCAAACAAATAGAATAAAGATCAGTTGAGTATAGGGAAGTGATGGGGAGATGGGGAGAGAAGAGGGGGAAGAAAAGGTAAGTACTGTGGAATAAATTAGAACAAATTATATTCATGATTGAATTATTATGTCAAAATGAACACTAATATTATGTAGAACTAAAATAACAACAAAATATAGAACAAAACATGGATGAAAAATTTGAAGAGAACATTAAATGTTTAATAAACCTCCCATGTCCAAGGACAGGAAGGATTAATACTGTGAAAATTTTTAAAACTACCTAAAGCAATCTATAGATTCAGTGCAATCAATGTCCATTAAAATATCAATGACATTCTTCATAAAAGTAGAAAACATTCTAAAATTCATATGGAATCAGAAACCAAATAGGCAATTCAATATTGTAGAAAAAGAATAAAACTGGATTCACCATAATACTTGATTTCAAGATATATTACAGAACCATAGTAACCAAATAGCAGCATGGTGTTGGCATGAAAACAGACTATTAGACAAAGAGTTTAAAATAGAGGTTTCAGCAAAAAGACCATGTGTATTCAGCTAATTTGTTCCTGATAAAGACACCAAAAATATATATTGGTGAAAGGGCAACCTCTTCAAATAATACTGCTGAGAAAACTGTATATGGATATATGGAAGACTGACATTGAACCCCTTTCTCCAACCTTGCTCAAAAATCAACTCAAGGTTCATCAAAGAACTCAGTGTAAAACTCAAAACTCTAATATAACTAGAAAAAAAGGTAAGCAATGTTTTTTTTATTTCTTTACAAGTCTACAAAAGAGCATGAAACAAAAGTAAAAATTGACAAATTAATTACATTAAACTAAAAAGCTTCTCTACAGCAAAGGAAATAATCAGCAGAGTGAATACCATCTACAGACATAGAGAATGAGAGAAAATATCTGATGATATTCATCTCACAGTCCTAATATGGAGACTATGTAAAGCACTCAAATCTTAGCTAATATTTCAATTAAATTATGTCACTAAGATATTCTCAAAAGACAAACTACAAGTGGCTAATAAATGTACAAAATACTTGATATCATTCACCACCTTGGAAATACATATCAAAATCCTGAGGTATAATCTCACCCTGGTTAGAACAGCTATTGGAGTTATACTAGTTGTGTAATCATATATGAGCATAGGAAATTATGTCCAATTCATTCTACTGTCCTTGCTATTTCCACCTGCCTCCTTTCCCATACATGTGTAATCTAACAAAATATACCCTACTGTCATGTATACATAAAAATAACAGTTAAGAAAAAGAAGTAAAAGATACTGGTGAGCATGTGGAGAAAAAACAGAATATTCTGTTTGTGGGAATGTAAATAAGTACATCCACCATGGAGAATAGGTTAGAGGTTCCTCAAAAAGCTGAAAATGTAACAACCAAATGATGAATCTCTCCCTCTCCAAAGTATATATTAAAAGGAAATGAAATCAGTATGTTAAAGAAACGTCAGAACTCCCGTGTTCCTTGTGGCTCCATTTCAGCCCCCAGCATTTTCTATTTCCCTGATATCCTTTCTACTTTTGATCCCCTTCCTCTAATCAATCCCCTCCATTAATATATTGTTTTTTCAAATGGTGCATCATACATATGGATAAAAGTGGAATTCACTGTGATATATTCATACATGCACATTGCATAATTTACTCAATTTCATTCTACCGTTACTCCTCTTTGCCAGTATCCCTCAACCCTCTTCTTCTACTATATAGTTCTCTATTATATTTTCATGGGATCCTCTCTTTTTTAATTCCTTATTTGTTCCTAGCTTCCATATATGAGAGAAAGTATTTAACCCTTGATTTTCTGAGTCTGGCTATTTCATGTAACTTGGTGTTCTCCATTTCCTCCCATTCACCAGAAAATAACATAATTTCCTTATTCTTTATGGGTGAATAAGACTACATTGTGTTTTTATACCACATTCGGTTCATTTGTCTTTTCATGGACATCTGGGCTGGTTTCATAAATTGGCTATTGTGAATTGCACAATGTTAAACATTTCTATGCTTCTATCAATATTCTATGCTGAAGTTGGTTCTTTTGGATAAATACAAAGGAGTTAAAGAGCGGCATCATATGGTGGTTCCAATCATTTTCTTCTGAGGAATCTACATACTACTTTCCAATATTGTTGTACTAATTTACACTCAAACCAACAACATATGAAAGTAGCTTTTCCCCACATTGTCATCCATTCTTGATTATTGCTATTCTAACTCTGATGACATAAAATTTTACTATAGTTTTGATTTGCATCCCCCTGTTTGCTAAAGGGTGTTTATTATGTTTTCATGTATTTGTTGGCTCTTTGCCTTACTTCCCTTCAAAAATATCTGTTTAATTCAAATGCCATTCATTAATTGGGTTACTTGTTTATTTAGTGTTAATATTTTTTAGTTCCTTATATATTCTGGATATTAATACCATGTCAGAAGAATAACTGGCAAAATTATTTTCCCATGCTGTAAGCTGTCTTCACATTCTTGGTTCCTTTGTTGTGCAGATTTTCAATTTTACACCATCTCATTTATTGATGGTTGATTTTATTTCTTGAACTCTCTGAATTCTGTTAAGGAATTCAGGGCCTGCATCACTATGTTGGAGAGTTAACTCTAAGATTTTCTCTAGTTGGGCTGGGGATGTGGCTCAAGCAGTAATGTGCAGCCTGGCATGCCCAGGGTGCTGGGTTCGATCCTCAGCATCACATAAAAATAAAATGAAGATGTTGTGTCCACCGAAAACTGAATAATAAATATTAAAAAATTCTCTCTCTCTCTCTCTCTCTCTCTCTCTCTCTCTCTCTCTTCTCTCTCTATCCTTAAAAAAAGATTTCCTCTAGTTGCAGAGTTTCTGCTTTAATACTTAGGTTTTTGATCCACTTTAGTACATTTTTTTTTGTACAGGGTGAGAGAATATAGTTTCATTCTTCTACAAATGGATATGTAGTTTTTCTAGCACCATTTGTTAAAAAGTTTATCTTTTCTTCATCATGTTTTTGGTCCCTCTGTGGAGTATCAGATGACTATATCTATGTACATTTATCTCTGTGTCTTCTATTGTATTCTATTGGTCTTCAAATCTCTTCTGATGCCAATACCAAGTTACTTTTATATTATAGCTCTAGTATAATTTGAGATCGTTTTTTAAAATTAATTTTTTATATATTACAGTAGAATGCATTACTATTCATATTACACAAATGGAGCACATTTTTTATATCTCTGGTTGTAAACAAAGTATATTCATACCAATTTGTATCTTTATACATGTACTTTGCATAATAATGTCCATTATATTCC